TTTCAGGTTTGCTCTGGGAGACGCTCGCAGGCCTTTGCAAGAGACTGCAGCGCTGGTGGAGGATATTGTACACACACAACTCATTACTATGGTAACATACAACGTAACAAATATAACGCTGAAACAATTATCTGTCAAACTTCAAGATCAAAGCCTAAACCACCTGAAGAGTTAATTACAGGCTGAATAATAGTACATAAGACAAATAAAACCCTTATAACTGATGTGGCTGTAAAAATCCACGATTCTGTCTCATTTCGGAGCCTCTGAATGGCACAAAAAATGTAATTATATTAAAGCATAAGTGCAATTTAATTCTGACTTTACTGATGCAATTGGTTTATTTCCCAGCTGCATCAGGCCTGTGAGGGAGCAGCTCTGCGTGGCTCGAGGGTTATTTCACCTGAGGACATCTTATTCCTGATGAGGCGAGACAAGGTACAAAATGCACACGTGAATAAAAAAAAAACCATTAAATATTCAAAACTGTATGTCCATGAATCTTTTCTTCCTTTATTGTTTTTTAAGGTTTGAAATAACTAATTCCTTTCCCCTTTTTCTGTTCTTTATCTTCACGCCTCAAAATCTGCTGACCAGAGGAAGTTGGCAAGATTATTAAAATATCTCCAGTTTAGAGATTATAAATCCAAAATACTCAAGACTCTTGACGATGAAGACACACAGGCAGAATCAGGTATACACGGAGCCTCACACACACACAGTGACCTTTTAAATGTTATTATAACCCTGTGACCCTGTTTTGGAGTGGAAATCAATGCATGGGCTCAAGAGCACTTCTGAGTCATTCAGCTTGTTGCTGCATCTACAAATAAAATTTAAAACTCTTGAAAAGAGCATTTAAATAGTTTAAATAAGAAAAAACTTGTTTTTTTTCCCTTGGCTCACACTTCTTTCAGATGGACTGATGCAGAATTGTGCTGTGGCCTGATTGGTTAAAATTTAAAGCTCATTATGGATGTGGTCGCTCTCCTCTTACACAGGCTGAGTGATATATGTGATGGCTTCACATCTGTAGTGGCACCATTGATGCTTAACATTTGCTGCTACTAACATTTGCAAGGCGATGTCAAATCGTATCAGCATTGCACTATAGTTAAAAAGTTAAGCTTGTGTACACTTGTGTCACATTATGGAACAAAAAAAGCCAATTTTAAGTTGAAGAACTTCAGCTCCCAAACGTTTATGCTTAAAAAAGTGATGCAACACACTGGAAAACATGGTTCTGTCCCATCTTGTTGGCTTAAATGGTAAATGGCCTGTATCTGTATAGCGCTTTTACTGGTCCCTAAGGACCCCAAAGCGCTTTACACAACCAGTCATGCACCCATTCACACACACATTCACACACTGGTGATGGAAAGCTACATTGTAGCCACAGCCGCCCTGGGGCGCACTGACAGAGGCGAAATTTAACATTATCATATTACACATTGCACAATACAAAATTCACCTTAGTTCCCACATTTGATATGTTGCTTTTGCAATACCTTAAATTACATATAGGTTTTAAATAATTTGCAGATCTTTAAAAATATATATTTTTACAGCATCCAAACTTTTTCAGAAACCACTTTGTACAAAAAAAGCTTCAAATGCTACAGTCAAAACCCAAGTGAATACTGAGCTCTGGTTTTCATCTTAAGTGTTTCTTTCTTTTTTTGTCTTTTGTGAACAAATGGGGTGCTGTAGGTCCTGCTGGTGCTAACCAGCGGAGGCAGCGACTGGCCCAGGACTTCCTGGTGTGGATGGATCAGACCGGTGAACTCCTGTCATTAGCAGAACGTCAGGAAATAGACCCCATCAAACAGGAGAGGATGGAGGTCAGAGCCCATCGATGTCTGCATGAAAATGATTGATTAGTAGGGCTGTTTTGAAAGTAAATGACGCATATATGACCTTATAGATTTAAAACGCCTTGACGCATGCTCAATCATCCGGATAAAATTTCCCAAAAAGTTGATTCTGCTCATCTGGACGTTTTCAGTGGGAGAAACTTTTTGGGATTATAGATTTAAGTGTTTTTATGTGTATTTGAATCTTCAGCGTTTGGAGCGTCAGACTCGGAATATGGACCCGGCTCAGTACGCTGAGTTCTGTGAGAGTCGGCAGCTCAGCTTTGGTAAGATTTTAAACGGCCCATTTAGTATCTGTCTCTCAGGAAGTTGATTCTGTCATAGGTACAAAAGGAGTAAAGGATTACATTTTATTGCTAATGTTTGTTTTCATGTCGGTTTGATGTTGCGTATATTTTTTTTAATGCGGACTCCACCTGTGCTCTAAGTCATGGTTTATGGGCATCTTATAAATAAGCAAATAAAGCTGTGGACTGTGTTTTTATCCTGTTAGTTCACCAATTGAATAATCATATTTCAGTTCTAAATTTAAAAACGTACAGTACGTACGGTAAAAACCTGATTCAGGATCAGTTTCAGCATTTTAAGCCCGTCTGACCTCTT